GGGAGATAAAAATATGATTATCATTTCCAAGAGAACTCTTAACTGAATGCCTTTATAGAGCACAGAAACGGGCTCATCAGTGCAGAACATTCTACTGCCAAGGAACAGAAAAAGCAACAAGGTACACTACTAACCTGGCAATAAGGTGGTTGAGGGGTTTGGACTTATTTTTTTGCATACAAGAAGAAAAAGATTAAGTTTATTTCTATGACTAAAATTAGAAAGTTTAATACCGTAACACAGGCAAGCCAATATACATTAAAAATACGATTTAAGTTACATAGCAGACTGTATTTCATGAGTAACATCATACAAATATGTGAAAAGACGTCACGTAACATGTGACAGGTGAAGTGTTTCTCTAAGTTGCATCCTACCTCAGTTTCAATCAAGAGACACAGAAATAAATATTGCTTTCACTGTGACCAATTTTGGTATTAATCCACGGTATCAGAACACATGGAGAAAATGAAACCTTAAGGTGGCTGAGCAATAGCTTCACAATTTCCTGATACATTAAATATGGTTTGGTTTGAAACAAACTTTCCCTTCTCACCTGTGCTGCATATTCAGCTTCTTTATCTTTTTCTAAATTGGAGTCACAGCTACATTTTTGCTTCATCACTTGGTCCAGTTTCTTCTCCAAGTCTCTCTGCTCAAAATAAAATTCTTCCATTCTTTGAGCATGTTCTGCTTGCAAACACTCAAGTTCTTTTTGTAAATTCTGCTGCTCTTCAGTTAATTCTTTCATAGCTTTGGAGTTGCTTAACATTTCCACTTCCTGTCAAGAAAAAACAGGATCACATACACCTTGGTTCTAAGCCCAGAAAAGTAAAAAACTTTATTTATATGTGTATCTGGAAACAAAGAGGCCAAAAAGAGAACATACATCTACCGGTAACGATAGCCTGATAGTACTATTTGTCTGCTTATCAATGGTAGCCTGGAATTTTGCAGCAAGCATTTAAATACTTTCAAATATACGGAGCTTCCAGAAAGAGATTCACAACCTCCAGCACTGAACCTCAGAAAGCAGCAGCACTGATTTGCTAAAATACACTTTGAAGATAAAAGAAGTGCATTATCAGAAAACAGATAAATGCATTCATTTTTTTTTCACTAGCGCTTCGTCATTTTTTGAAGTCTTAATTTTTTTAAACTTATCTACAACCTTTACTTCCAACAGCAGAACAACTTGAAAAGTAGCAACTCTAGAGCTCTGAGCTCATAGATTCTGAGCTTAACATTAAATAAAATCAAAAAAATAATTAGGTCTGGTCTATAAATAAGAAGCAAAGTCAATATTTATCTTCATGCAGAAAACAGAAATAAGGCAAAATCACAAGTGAACACCAGCTTCTAATGTCATCCATTATTAAAAAAGACTAATAAAATCCCCCTAAAAACAAGCACTTATCGAACAGAAATTTGAAGGTGGGATTCTTTTTTATACAGGGCAGTGATTAAGACCATTCTCAGAATACTGATGCCCGCATCTTTAAAATCTTGAAAACTGAGAAGTTTTAGAGGACTTAAGCTGTATTTGCCCAAATACTTTAATGTTTGGAAAACATTTTAAAGTGGAAGAAGCAGTTTTCATTTGGATAAAATAAAAGGAGCTGCTTGAACACAGCAGTTGCAAACTGAAAAGACATCAATTATTAGCAGACACAAACCTAATGAGCATAAGGGATATTAAAGAATTGATGTCTGGATTCAAGCTGTGGGGGAAACTATCTGTGTGTTTCAGTGTTTCTAAATGAACGTAATCGGTGATACCGATTCTATAACCAACAAACTAATATCAGTTTTCACGTCAAAAGTAAAATGCACTCAGACAGGCACTGTACCATTTGAAGCTGCTGTTTCCTCCGCAAAATGGTATTCAGTTTTTCTTGCTGTTTGATGTAGGTTTTCATTACTTCTTCCATGATCTTTCCCTTGTCATCTTCACAGCTGATGTCTTTCATAAGGGTGGGGGACAAGGTTCGCACATCGTTACCTGCTTCAGCACGGCTAGAGTCCCTGGTGATTCTGGAAGAAACACCCTCAGATTTTCCACCTCTTGCAGAACGAGTTGACACAGGTGGGTCTACAGAGAAAAGGAGAACACAGCACAATAGTTACAGAAAATTTAAACTTCCAGAGGGAAAAATACGCAAAGTAAGCTGAAAATTATAAAAGGTCAAAAGAATTTTTTGAAAACTGAAGTGACATCACAAAATACTAGCTTGATGTCAAGCTTTCCAAAATTATATGGCATAAAAATTGAAGACATCAATGTAATTTTCACTACTCACCTAAATGTTTATGCTGCTCCACACCAGTATTCAAGTCAATTTTTTCCTGTTCTTCAAGGGAAAGCTCGGGATAGGAGGCAGCTTTTCTGTGCTTTCCACTACTGAGCTTTTTCTCTGACTGTCCAGGTGAGGATTTAATTATTTCTGAAGCTCTGACTGTTGTTTTTGCAACATCCTTATATTGTGATGCAAGAGAGACATTTGGGGCAACCACTTTATCGCACATATAAAGGTAGTAACTGAAACAGCAAAACAGTAAAATGAAGAATGAAATGCAAGGCATAAAAAATGATGACTGATAGAAAGCAGTAAGTTTAATTTAATGTGATTTCAAACTGTAAAAGCTTCAATGAAAAGTGAGCATGTCCTTTTAAAATTTTTCCTATGCAAAAGGAAATCCTAACGATCCACTTAATCTTTCCTGAGTAGATTATCTAGATAAGGTTTTGAGTCTATCAAACAAGAGGATTTTCCAAACATGGCTGATTAAAAAAATCATACAGAAAATCATATGAAGTCTGCAGTTAAATGCAAATATAGTGAAATTAGAATGTCACTGAATCCAGACTCTCTAGAATTTTCACAATCCTTATATTAGCAACGGAGGATGGGGGAAGTGATCAGTGTAGTGGGAAAGAACGTATCACTCTTTCTATAGCAAGGGTGAGTACTGACAGTGCTGGGGCACTGTCTTTGTTTGAGCTAAATAGAACTAATTTTCTATTTAGTGATTCTACTTTTCAGCTCAGTATCTTCTAAGTGGCTGAACTCACTGGAAACTAGCAGGATGTTTTTTTTCCCAGACAGTATGAACTGATAAGTTCAAGGCCAAGTTGTCTCACCATGGAGCAGCAATAGAAACAGCAAACTGAAGGACCATCACAGAAGGTCGGCCATTCACATGTTTGTGTGGAAGTGAGTTTGATGCATGTATTACTTCAACGCATGCTGATAGCCAAAAGAGTCTGATCTCACTCATATACAGTACATGTTGTACGGGGCTGAGGGTAAGAGGTATGCCAAGAAAATCCTACTCCCTCACTGATGCAGATGACAAACTTTGTACTTATGTTAAGGAAATGTGCTTGGTTTCTCAAACCTGAAAACTAATCAACAGACAGTTCAGCTGTAGCCATTCTTCCAGTGTGAAAGAAAGCCTTCAAATGCCTTTTACAAGTCTTTTTGGAAAGGAAATTAAGTTGTACTCATGGTAAATAGGCCCTATGCAGCTTTCCATGAGCATGCATAATGTTATAATAGAAAAGATTAAAAATTACCTTCTATAATTTCTACTCTGAAAAGGGAAACTGTAATTACATTTCAGTTGTATTGCTACTGAAGAACTCATACATCACAGCTTGAGTCCTGTACCAAAAACCTCTCATAAGCAGTTCATTACTATTTACACTAAGAAATGCATAAAGAGTTAGGTTCAATTGTTCCTGTGCAATCACTTAGAGTTTTCCTAACATTTACAGCTGTAAGTAATTTTTTTTCAGTTTGATTTATCTTTAAACAGCCAAAAGTATTTAAATGCTTGTACATACAATACTTACAGTCCTGCACAAGAAATTCAGTTACCTGGGATGGAAAAAGGAAGGTGGCTGAGGATCAGTTTCTGCTTCTTGCTTGATAACTGGATACCACTGTGATAATTCCAGGCTCTGCTGTGAATCTGCCTAAAGGAAAGGTAATAAATAGGTAATTGGAAGACAGGTATACGTTAGTCACACTTTCATAAACTCTCCTCAGTGGAATGGTATTTGTATCACTGATATATATACACAAAGGTGGGCAGCACCAGACAAACTGTGGTACTGGAAAACGGAGAGTCATTGGCAGAGATACAGGGCAATGCAAGCAACATAAGCTTCTTCGATCTCCCAATTTCCCATTATGGGCAAAGTAGCAACGAAATTAAAAGAAAATCTCTTTATAAACCTATATAAAAGCTCTGCTGAGTTTCCAGAACTCTGCCAGGGGCATGCTACAAATGCTTGTGAGAAACAGAAAGCAGAAACTAGGATTCCCAAAAGGCTGTATAGGAGCCTTCTGCAATACACTATGTACATGGTAGTACGCACTTGCCAGATACTTTACTACAAAATAAAACCTGTGAATAAAGTGGAACAATTACTGGTGTTCTGGAGACACAACTTTCTTTAGTTGTCAGGAATTTTTACCACAGAAGTGGGCAAAGCTGCTGCAGTAACATGACCACTCCATTCCCTTTGCAGTAACAAACAAAATTAGTTCAGGTGCATCAGCATATATATAATCTTAAAAAAAAGTTTATGCTTGTTGTAGTTAAATAGCAATTCTTGTTCTGTTTGTCTCAAGAAAAAGTTATGGAATTAATCTTTGTCAAAGTTACTGGTGATATTTTATGCTCCACTACAAAGTTACTATTAGGTATCTCTCATAGATCTAAGTAAGACTTATAGCTAAGAAATTGGTTCTTAATTTCATTGTACTGAAATAGCCTTAGGAATTGGATTTTGGGCCAGGCGTAGCTGGCTGACCCCAGCCAGCAACAAAGCACCCACACAGCTGCTCCCTCACCACCACCCCCAGGCAACAGAGGTAAAAGAAAGCTGGTGGGTCAAGATAAAGACAGTTTAATAGGTGAAGGAAAGAGGAAAAAATACCAAGTGAAGCAAAGGATATAGCTCATTACCTCCCACAGGCAGTTTCTACCCCAGTTTTTTTTACTGACCATGACATTATATGGCATGAAATACCTCCCTGGCCAATTTAGGCCAGCTGTCCTGACTGTGCCCCCTGCCAGCCTCTTACCCACCCCAGCTCACTGCAGGGGCTGACAGTGAAGCAGAGAAAGCACTGACACTGCAAAAGCACCAGTCAGCGGCAGCCAAAATATCGGTGTGTTAACAACACTGATTTAGCCACAAACCCAAAGTACAGCACCACACAGGCTGCTATGAAGAAAGTTAACACCATTCCAGCTAGATCAAGCACCTTCGGAAAGTTGTTCAATTAAAAAGTCTATAAAGCTTAAAAATTAATGACAAAATCCTCCTGTACCAAAGGCTTTATCTAGCGCTCCAACATCTTCACCATTTGTGTACAGAAAAGTTTATATTTACACACCCTGAAAAAGTTGTCACAGAACTTCATCTCTACCCCATTACATAGGTGTGACTGGTACCAAGGTCTGCAGAATCAAACGCCACTTGACCACGACAGAGACCAAATCTCATCTACAATATTGTGGTGAAAACTTCCCACCCACTGAATTCAGCTCTAGCAATGAAACCAAAACTGAACTCCACCCCTACAGTTCCTCAAATCAGTTCCAACACAGATAGAAAGGAGGGAGGGCACAAGGAAGCTAAGCTCCAAAACAGTAAATCCACAATCAAGCCTTTAAATAACACGGATTTGAAAACAGCAAATAATCTCTAGAAAAATGGCCTCATCCTAACACTTGTCAAGTTTTCGTACTTAGTCAGATTACTCTAATAATTTAAATAATGTGCATATATTCTTTCCCTTACATTACAGCTAGTACACAGTACTAGTCTGATTTTAACTTCTGAATCACATCTTGTCCATGTTTTAGGACTTGCATTTAACATGTTTATATGTTTACATACGAAACTGTCTATCAGGTAATCTGTATTTTCAAGTTATTAGGTCAGATTTTTACAGTCTCACCTATTTCAAATGGAAACCAACTGTACTGTCTAGCCATTAGTGTATGCTTTGCAAATGAATTATGTAAGTTGCAATCAAATTTTTACTTAGGAAAGAAAATAAAAGGTAATCCGTAAATAAGCGTGAAGTCGTCTTCTAACGTGATTCCTCCCTCACCATCCAGGTTATTAAAATAGACATAAAGCATCTACTTCAATACATACATGTATATTTCTTTACCTAACAATCTGTTTAGTTTAGATGCTCTTAAACAATTATATAAATGCAATATATCCAAGTAAACTTAAAATTCATTAAATTACTTCTACCTAAACTGTTTGAAAGGGCTACATGAAAAATATGGCTTATTTTTCTTCTAAAGCTAGTTGTAAAAGCTGTTTTAAAGAAAAAATATAGACAGATTAAGAAGCGATTTCAGCCTAATCACTAAGCCAGGAGTTTTAGCAAAAATGGGATTTATAAAAATACTCAGAAATGTTCATTCTCTACATTGTGAGTTTTTCCCATGCACGGCGATGAACTCAAGGAACTGGTTTGAGAAGAGAAAGTTTTAGTGCAAAGCAATTATCAGAAACTGCCGCAAAGTCACGAGGAATGAGGATCTGAGGGTGCAGAGATCAGCAGAGACCGAGTGACAGCTGAACCCAACAGCAAATGAGAAACTGTGACAATCACATATACACCTTACAGCTTTCTTATTAGCAAAGAGCAAAAAGGAATTAACCTTCTGAGTACAGCAGGCAAGTGCCCACATTGCCCATTTTTAAAATGCTGAAAGCAAAAGCATACTCACGCTGTGACGTGCACAAACTCCTAGTGAAATGCCAAGGAGAAAGGCAAGGCAGAGAGTCTAGGATGCTCCAAAGACTATGAGATTTAATTAGTAATTTATTATTACTAGATGGATAAAGACCTGCATCTGTTCTGCATGGGCCCTCCAAGATAACCTCAAAGATGTGTCAGCACTGCCAAGGGCTGACTCAGCAAAGTAAGAAGGTGACAGAATGGCAAACGGAACAGCCTGCAAATAAATTTCCCTAGAAATGCAAGGAAAGAGAATGTCTACACATCGTACCTAATCTCTCTCTCACACCACGGCAATGAGGGAAGGATGACTGAAGTAGCCCAAGCTTCCCCAGAACAAAGAAACGGAGGCTGTGTTCCAACATTTCCCTATTAAACTCTTCTAATTTTTTGTACCTTCCAGATGAATATCCATGAGACAAAAAACAGAAACAGAACCCTCCCCACTTTTTATCTTTGTTCAAGTTTTCACAGTTACTCTCTCATTCTGATTTCATATGCTGCTTTGTAAGAAAGAACCATACAGATCTGCAATGGAAGACTCTAGAAAGAGTTCTTGTATTTTGTTTGCACCACTTCAGCCCAAATTAGCGTTGCTAATTTCAGTGGGTTTTTTCATCTGTACACATAAAACTGAGAGACCTCATGGTCTGAAATCTGCTACTGTGAAAAGGGAAGCAGTATTATAGGTATGAATATGGAACACTTGCCACTGATGCATCCACTATATTATAGTTTATTAACTACACTGGCATTGCAAGGATAAAGACTGCCATGTCCTTATCAGATGAAAAACAAAGTCTCCTTGCTATCAACTCGCCTGCATCTTCAATGTACTCAGTGAATGGAAACCTGCCCTATTGCAGATTTTCATGGGAAATTTTCTGCTAACATCCCTAACTGTAGCCTGGCACAGCTGTAAAAATACCTGTTACTTCTGCAATACTAACTTTTCAGAAGTTTCTGCTGAAAGGTGTCAACTTATAGCACACCTTTTTGGGCTCAACCATCCGAACTGCACTTGCTGCTATTTTGAAATTCACCACAAAACGTTCAACAGGCACAACAGAGATATAATCAAATCAACAGCCACCAGACAGACACACAAATGTCAAATACACTGAAAAGAAAGAGTCATGTGGCAGGAACCATTCAAAAACCTATGAACTTTAAATTATACCCCCAAATGTGTACCTTCTATGAACAGAAACATCCATGATGTTTAGTATTTACTTGGTACTTATTATTTAAAGTAGAAGCTCTCCAAGGGAAAAACAGGCTCTGTATTTTTGAATGACAGTAGAGACTTGCAGCAGTATTTTAGGAAAAAATACATTGTCTATTATTAACCACTGTCAAGATACCGGCCTACAGCTCATTACTTGGGCTGCTTAAAGCCCCTTCTTTTTGGCATATTTCTCTATACAAGTGGTTTAAACAGAAAGCTACTGCTGAACAAGCAGCCTTTAGGCTTCTAAAGAGCAACTTATCAATGCACCATTACCCCACACGGAAAGTCATGAGATGGGTGGTTAGTAAGCCAGGTCACCGTACATTGCATGTGTGCGCGCTGGAATGAAAACAGCAAATGAAGAATTAATTTGTAATACTTGATTTTCAAGTTCCTTTCTGCTTTGCTCAGCTTCTGCAACACAGACTGCATAAAACATTCTCAAAGGTCAAATGGGAGAACGAAAATTTCCACAATAGGACTGAATTTTCCTGAGACTGCATACCGTACAACAGAACAAGAACCAACAAAGCCAAAGCAGCTCAAATGAAGTTACTTACAACCCGAAGAGAAAAGAAATTAACGCACCTTTTAATGAGAAATGTTATTTCCATGGTGAAGCTCTCTCATAAATTTAACTGGGGCTTGATTTGACAAGCATTCCCATTTACAAGTGGCAAGCAACACACTTCATAAACAAGTATTTATGTGTGAGCAGAAAGAGATTTGGGCGTTTTACAGAAGGAGGTGAACTTACTTTGGACCGAGTTCTTTTCTGATTTTTCTCACTGAATTTCTCCTTCATTTCCTCCAAAAGATGCTTCAGTTCCCGCTCCTCCGATGTTCCTAAGTATTTTTGGTTAATATGCAGGTAGCAGTGCCACTTGGCCGATTCAAACCCCCAGTGGCAGGTCCTCTTGTCTGGGGATCTGTGTGAATGCATCACAAATGTCTGGGGTGAGAACATCCCGTAGCACTCCAAACACTGGATACAGGGGTCATCCGGGGCAAGGTAGAACTGAGGTGCAAACAACCCCTGGCACTTGCCCAGGCATTCGTGCTCTACTTCAAAGGCACTGCCAGTCTCTTTCAGTTGGGCCAAGGTGTTCTTACCAGGGAGAAAACTGCCACTTTGTGGAAAAGTGCGAGGACGTAGTAAAGCGTTGCATAGTCTCTGAGCATCAGTCAGCGTAATTAGCCCACAGGACGGAGCATTAAATGGAAGAATTCCCAAAACTTTCAGAATATGAAGCTGGTCGGAAGTGCACCTTGAGCAATATATATACAATTCATCGCACACTGTATTGATCTGTTGCAGTGAGAAGTCTCGGAGAACTGAATTCAACACCTGAGGCAGGCAAAGTCTTTTCTCGCCTCCGACTTTAAAACAAGAGATAGATTCCCCCTCCAGCAAAGTCTGGGTGAGCTCCGTGGAGCTGTCTGGAGGAATGAGCAGCGGACCAGAAAGTATTTGCGGCGATGGGAGAGGCAAGAAGACAGTGGGTGACATACTTTCCTGGGAATAGCGAGCCGAAAAAGCTGCCGGTCCACCCAGTGAACTCTGGCTGCTCAAGTGGAACTGTGCCAACGTGTGTTTCAAACCTGGATTTAAATTCAAAGGCTCTGATAGGGAAGTATTGTTTGGCTTGGCTGTTTCTCCATCAGCCTCCACAGGAGTTTCATCATATTCGTCCAAGTTTTCCTTCTTTATTGTTGGCAATTTATTTATTACAACTCGTACTTTGCTATTTACATGCATTTCCGTCATTGCTTTTTTTAACGGAGGACTCCCATCCTCTTGGATCCCACTCCTTTTTTGGTCTGAAACTAGACCTAGAGGGAAGTTTATCTGTGGGCTTTCCATTGCTAAACACCAGGACTTTAATTAAGTAAGTCTTGAGTGTGCATTTTCCTGCTTGTTCATACAAAAAAAAAAAATCTCAAGTGATCTTGATTAGCTCAGGCACACCAAGTTTGCATCCCTTTCAGTAAAATGTTACTTCTTCAGCCTCTAACAGTAAAAACTGTAACCCATTTTGCACTTAATACCATAAAATTAATAATGGAGAGGTTACACAATTTTTTTAGTTTTATAGTTTTGTTCAATTTTCTTATATAAAAAACCCACTGCAATATGTATACAAAAGGCTCTTCTTCATACCCTACCCACTCTTTTACACAGTAGTCTTGTATGGCAATTTAGTAAAAAACGATGAGTGATGTCCACCCTTGATCATTTTTTCTTTAAAAAATATACTGTCTTTTCAAATAAGCCTCTATTTAAATATTAAAATAGAAAAATGGTTTCAGTTTGAAGAACACTGATCTCAGCGCAACCAATCCAAAAATGTAGTTTAAGTTGTATGAAAATTTTATTCAGCACCTTCAGTTCTTGGAGATCAAACACAACCTTAAGGGCTTGCTTTACTGTGCTGCCAACTTTATGATTTCACCACCACCACGAGGGTTACTATGGCAGTTCAAAAATAAATCTCCAAATTAAAGACTGATCCAGATCGCCGGCAAAAACTACACGTCCTTAGAGAGTCACCTTTCGCACAGATGTCACTGGTCTGTGTCAGAATTCTCCCACCCCAAGTTATTAGTAACAGAGGTAAGATCCAGGCCATCGGCTAAATTCATGTCCTGTGCTAAGAGAGTTCTGTCAGTCCTTCCAGATAACCTGTGAAAAGATGAGGTCAGTCAGGAGCAACCCCAAAATCCAAGGAGGGATACGTTCCCAGTTAATTACGAAACACCAGGGCGCAGAGCGCTTTCCCTCGCAGCCCTAAGCCCCATTACGAGCGCCGGCAGATGGGTGCAGCTGGCAGCAGCCGCAGACAACTCCCGAAGCGCTGCATTCACCGCCC